TCAGAAACTCCTCAGTGTTAGTATCCAGATTGGTGTATGACAGTTAAAGATGTTATAACAATATAATTTAATGACCTGCCCTGTAAACCAATGAAATATGAGTGCAAAAAGAAAGAGTTCTGTTGCTAAGATAACTAAAAATGCTTTGGAAAATCTTGAAACTCAAATTTGCTTAAAAATGCTAAATATGGAGCGGGTAATAATAGTAATAGTAGGCTCGGTGGTAGAGAGCACTTGTCAGGCATGCTCGAGGACCTAGGTTAAAAAAAAGAAGGAAAGGAAAGGAAAAGCTGAATAGCTAGGATCAGGTGAGATAGATATAGGGCATTGGAATGTACAATAAAAATCCAGAAAGATCTTGTAGCCAGATTAGCTCCCAAATGTCAATGTTCTTATTTCTCTTTAAATAAACATGGAATTTAAAGAAATTTTATTATGGAAAAGGTTTATGCAAGAAAAATGATAAACATTAATTAGAAAAGGACCTTGGTCCTACATCAAAGATTAGCAAATGAATTTATACACATCTTTTAAATTAACATAAAGCAAATCTTTTGAATGGTTGCTCCCCCCCACCCGCCCCCTTTTTTTTAAACCATCTTTTCCAATTATCTAACCAACAAACTAGTTGTCCCAGCTGCACTGGATACAGAACATCTGTGGAACACTGAGGTATGTTTTTATTTTATACCTTCTCCACTCTTCTTTCCCCAAACTGAATAGGTAGGTACTGCATGCCCACTGTGCTGTTACCCTGAGGTTCTCTCTCCCAAGAGTTGTTCTGTCTCAGGGTTGTTTCTCAGAGCAACAATGATAACAAGAATGATTTGGAGCCATCAAATACATTTGGAAGAAGCCTCAAGCCTTAACCCTCTTGTGAACTCCCAATGCCACCTAGTACACTGAGAAAAAAGAAATAGGCTAACCCTTGTAGAACCCAGATTTGCTCAAACATTTCACCATGGAACTCCTTTTTGGCAGCAATGTCAAGGAAAGTCCTATGAAGGTACATACATCAGGAACCAATGCCATGGGGCCCACAGACAAGGGTAATGCATGGTCCCTATTCTTGAGAAATTTAGCACAGAGTCAGAGCCATAAAGAATAAAGATTTGATGCACACACATAGCATGGGAAAGCCACTGCACTCGTCAGTATACTCTTAGGATTAGATGATGGGAAACTCAGCAGGTGTTACAGATCAAAATGACACATTAGCCATCCACCTCTAATTAATTTTCACAAATGTTGGGCTTTACCCTTAAAAACTTGCTCTTGGTTGGCTGTTCCTGAAAGTTCAAAGTGAACAATTTCTTAAATTGACTATATGGTAGACCTGGCTCTTTAAGGATGTTCTCTTATTTAATGTTCACAACCAGGGGAAATAAATATCTTATTCTTTTCAAAGAAATAAAATCAGAGTGATGATGTAGCTACTGCAAGAAATTCAATTCATACCCCAATCTGCTTGGCTTTAAATCCTATCTCCCCTCCCCTGAGCCTGGTTACCAGGAGCCTTTCAGCTTCTGTCCTGAAACTGGGGTCTGGCAGGGAGTGTATGTGTGTGCACATGTACACAGATGACCAGGCTGCTCTGATGATGCCCCAGGTTGTGTGGCCCAGCTGTGGTCTGCAGAGGACAGCCATGATCTGCAGGGGACAGCTGTGGTCTGCAGGGGCAGTTGTGATCTGTAGAGGCCAGCTGTGTATACTTATTACTCTAGAGTGACCAGAATTTTTCGTTTTAAGTTCAGAAGTTCTGGGTTCTGACTTTAGAGGCCTGGCAGCCCATCCCTTCTCATCTCCTGAGGCCACTGTCTTGAAGGCATTAGCTGTAGGAGGACTTTGTCAATACTAAGTGCTTTCTTACTAGCATCTGCAGCTGCAAGCACTTCCAGGCTACAGAGAATAGCAGAGTGGGTGGGTGAAGGCAGGCAGAAGGCTCATACATATTCTTTTGGCAAGACTTCTCTATTGTCCTAAGTGTCTTTATAAAGTCAACATGAGTCCTTTCTTCTCTTCTGTTTGGTGCTCAGCTAATTCTCCTGCCTCTTCTCTTTCTCTCTCTTCCCAAATCCAGTTGGAAGTGACCATAGAGCATAAAGAACAGACCCTGAGCTAGAGAGGATGCTCACAGGGAAAGGGTAGGACATGAACCCAGGTGAGAGGTGGGCACAGCCGGAAGGGACTGAGCTGGGTGACCCGCCAGTCTCAGGCTAAAAAGTTGAGCTGCAGATGGGGAGTGGAAGGTAGCTGAGGTGGTTTGCAGGTGTGTGTTTACAACCATTTAAAAAAATGCAAAGGGTAGTTCCTGATTCCTGGGTTTATGCCAAATCGTATGGTATAAGGGCACTCCTGTCAGGAATTCTCTGAAGGATGAAAGCAGATATTTCATAGATATGAATTCTATGTAGCATCATTGGGCAGTTGGGAGATGTATGCTAATATCTAACCCTACCAACTAAACCATTTCCCAACATTTCAGCTCTTAATGTAAGTACTTGTTGCATTGACCTGGATGTTTTAATGGAAGAGGGTTTCAGATGTCAGCCTCTGGTTATTGTGTTATTTTTAGTTTATGTCTTTTCTTGTGTGTGTGGCCTGAGCAAATTTGAAAAGAAACAGCTGGATGAATGCTTTATAGCCAACTTAATGTTTATACAGAACTTGCTCGGTGAAGATTTGATTGTGATTGGTTCTCTAAACACATACATCTTTGTTCTTCTGTTAAAATAGCATGCCTACAGATCTTGGGCTAGAATGGAAGCATTACATTTTGACCCAAACCTAAGTGAGTAGAATATTTTCTGTATTGCAACATTTACTTCTGAGTTGAAACTGAATTGGATCTCATGGGCTCAAGTTTGCCTGAAGTGTTTGGATACTTCTAAACATAGGGATCCCTTTCTAACAAAAATTAATCAATTAAAAGGTCTTTATGCAAATTAAAAAATGCATGGGGACCAGGGGTGAAGGAGGAAAGGGAATGAGCATTTATTAAGCACCTCAGTGTTCCAGGGTCTTTGTAACTATTTCATGAACTCATTGTGATTTTTTTTTTAAAATTTGTAGTTGGACACAATATCTTTGTTTTATTTATTTATTTTTATGTGGTGCTAAGGATCGAACCCAGGGCCTTGCACGTGCAAGGTGAGTGCTCTACCGCTGAGCTACAACCCCAGCCCTCATTGTGATCTTTACAAGAGTTGAGAGTGGCCAGATTAGAGAATAAAAGGTAAAATCTAGATTTGAACCCAGGTTTGGTTGCCTTGAAAGCCCATGAGCTTTCCATCCTATCATTATCTGTCATCACACCACAATGCATGGAGCCTGGTTCTGATCCATTGAGGGATAGGGTAGCCTGTGCTGCCCTGATTTTGGTTGTGACAGACAGGTCCATGCAGAGATGACAGATCTTTCCCTAGGGAGGCCCTCTTTCTCATGTATGGGATGCAAGCTCTAACAAGACCCTGGGCTTCTGGGGCCATCAACTGGCCAAAGGGATCGTTGGTTTTCTGAAAATTTGGGAAACCAGAACAGACAGGAAACCAGAGCATCACCCCTCGAGATCCAGACTGGACCTGTCCCTGGTTCCCTTGCTTCATTGCTTAGGCTCTAGGATGTTTCTCCAGCTTCCTCTCCTTGCCTTAACCCTTAGTCTTCTAGCCTCTTCTGTCCAAATTAGTGTTCTAATTCAAAACTCCAGATTTCCAAACTACATAGAGATTTAAAAATGAGCTTGTTCAGCAACACACTGGAGATGCACCAAGTCCTGAGAGTTGGGTGGATAGCTTTGGGGAGATGCCAAACTCTGATCCCACAAACAGTGATTCTTCCCATTCTCTGCGCACACTAAAGACCAGCATCTCTAAGACAGAATCCTTAAGACCATATTCAGTCTTCTGCTCCCAACATCTGAGAGCCATTGCTGAGGCTTGGTTTCTGTGGCTTCTGGAGGCTCTCCCATTTCAGATAAAGGGATGTGGATTGACTGATTATTAATCTCCATGGTCCATTTGATTTCTCTCCTTCTCTCTAAAGGAAGATCTCTCTTCATTCCTGGTTCTTCCCCACAGTTCTTGGTCCATGTATCCATAGCCCCTCTGCATTTGTCTTGTATATTCATGTGTCCTGATATGCCACACCAGACTACTGGACGCCTGCCTGTGGTCACAGAATCTGCTTCCTACCCCACGACACACACACGTCAGACCCACACAGTCCTTGGTCTTAATTGCCATAGCCCTTGAAATTAGTGCTGTAGGGGATTATAACTTTGAAGCCATTCCTAACATTCAACCAAAGGCTTGTCTTTTATAGCTAACACCACATGCAAACACGTAACTACTATCATGTTATGTGCACATAGTAGGCATTTTATAAACACTGCATTTAAACCCAAGGAATTGTGCCATTTAAGAAGGTGGGAACTGAGGCCTATGACAGCAGTGGCTCTGTGTCACAGAGCTGAACTGGTTATGTGAAAAAGCCAGGATTCCAGCCTCATCTGTCCTCCAGAGCTGGTGTTCTAACCAAGCTCCCCTAAGCTGTACCTTGTCCAGTGGCTCTAACCCAGAGGGAAATGGATACATACATTGCTTCCCCCCAGCAGAGTGAACTTTGGACCCTGAGAGAGAATTAACTTGTTCTTCCAGTAATCACAATACCTCCTCTTGAACTTTACTCTGCCCACAAAACAATGTTGTACACATGCCCAGTACTGAACTCTTTCCAAAGTGTTCATTCCTATTAGCTCCTTTATTGTCATATATTTTTGAGGCAGTAACAGCAGCAAGTACTAGAAAGCCTCCCAGCTTTAGCGCCCCCCCCCCCCCGCCCCCAAAAGGAGGGGGAGGAGAGGGAGCCTCTCCTGGGCTGGCCTCCAGCTGATATTCCTATCACCCTCTCTGAGGCCATGCCCTGCAGGTCTGGAGATGACATCAGTCTGGCATCCTCAATGTGGCCCCCCACCCCCGCCATACACATTCACACACACTTACCATGAGATGTTGGAAGAGCCAAGAACGCATTATATTGGTGGCATGTTTGGGCAAGACTCCTCGTTTGTTCTTGGACTTCTTATCCTCATTGTCCAGGAGGGAGGTGAGGTCAAGGTTAACCTTCAGGGCATGTGGAGAAAAAGTCAGCTGGGGACCTGTTGCCTTAGAGATGGCGGGCTCTCCCAGCCAACCCCCTTTCCCAACTCATTCCCAGGACCCTGGGAAGGTCACCTTTCCCTCTCCTCCCACATCAGCCCCTCAGAGAAAGAAGATGAGGCTTGGGGTGAGGGGAGAAGAGAAGGAGAAAGAAAAGCTGGAAGGGAGGAAGGAGAGAGGGATGTGAGGGAAGATAGAAGAAACAAGACCATGCAGAGAGTATGGAAGATATCAATTTGCTATTTATTTGCATTTAATAGTTATTAGCATTTCTGTGATAATTTAGAGTTAGCAAAGCACTTTCCTATCTATCGCCATGGTTAATCCTCCAACAACCCTGTAGGTGGTTGGGCTGTGTACAGTTGGTTATTAATCCCCCCTTTATTGATAAGAACTCTGAGGCTCAGAGAGGTTAGGAGACCTATCCAAGATCACAGAGTTAATGTCAGATCTTGTGCCTCTGACTTCAGATCTTTCTATAGATCTACACTCTACACCACTAAGCTACAGAGAGGCTTGATCTGGAGACTAGGAATAGGAAGTGCAGGATCCTTTGATGTAAACTAGGGAGGCAGCAAAATCCCAGGAGCTGATAAAAACATTTACCAGACCCAGCTTCTTATCTGTAAAGTAGGGATAATGATACCTTTTGAGGAATAGTGAGGATTAAATGAATTTATTTGTGTAAAGTGCCTCACAGCTAGTATGCATTCAGAAGTGCCCTCCTCTCACCCATGCACATATACACACATTTACACACACTCACCTGTGTGTTCTGGATCTGGATGGCTCCCTGGGGGATTGCTTGAGTGACCACCTGACCCTGGGAGGTTACCATGGTAACCGGTTGGTATAAGGCTCCACCTGAGGAGACAACCAGTTTTTGGGTCCCCTGCCATAGGGTGGGAGGAGAGAAGGCAAGCAGCGATCCCAATTTGCTTGGCACTGATATGTGAAGACCCTCTGCTCAGCAGCCCTAGGGCAGTGAGGCATCTTTCTTCCACTTGTAGGGGAGGAGTATGTGGGCTGGGGGAATGGTGTCCAGAGTTAGAGCAGAGCCTCTGGTGGGAAGTGTTTGGGGAAAGAGACAATAGCCTTACTAAGTCTTGGGGGAAGGGAAGCATGAGAATTTGACCCAAATTTGTTCCAACCCATCCCAATCAGGTCTTAGCGCCAACCATTTGCAGAACACTGTAGTCAAGAAACAGCTGGAAGCCCTTCCCTTAGTACAGGACATGCCCTGATCCTGGGATTCCTTAGGGGCCACCCTTCTCCCCTGGTGCTCCCCATGAACCCCTGCTCCGTATTCCCTGCACTGACCTGACACGACTTGTGAGTTGACGGTTGTCATGGCGATGTTGCCCTGCTGGAGCGCTGAGGCTGGGACCACAATCCCCTGGGGGTTATTGGAGACTCCAGACATGGAATTGGGGGAATTCTGCAGGAGGTCCTGGTAGAAAGGAAGGCGTGATTTGTGACAATGTCCCAGACAGCTTAGATGGTTCAGGTCCCAGATCTCCCTCTTCTCTTGCCTTCCCTCCTCCCTCCTTTCTGCTCCTCCCCAGCCCTGAATCCAGAAAGCAATTCCCTTGGCTTTACAGAAAGAGTAAGAAGGCTCAGTATTTAAAAAAATAGATAAAACCCAAACCCAAAAGGCAACAATGGTCATCCATTTAACTATTCTGTTCCTCTGACAACCTGAGGCACAAATTGTCCCCTAAACCAGTAGGTCTCACCTAGATTACATTTTGGAAATTCCAGTGATGATGTGTGGGATCCAGCCCCAGAGATTATTATTTAATGGGTGAGGGGTGTGTCCTGGACTTGGGGGTTTTAAAACTCCCCAGGTGTAGCCATGGCTGAGGACTGAGTTCCATCCTCAGCATCTACTCATTCCTCAAATTCAACTGTGCCAGAAGTGTTCCCTCGCCCTTCTCTCACCCAGTGCCTCTCTTCTTCATAATCTTTAGCACACCTCTATTAGACTTCATAATAGGCACAAAGCACCCTCCAGTATTTTATTTTATTTATATTTTTAAGGTGCTGGAGATGAAACCCAGGGCCTTGCCTATGCCAGGCAAGCACTCTAGCACTGAGCTACACCCGCTGCCCTCCAACTTTTACCTTTGTATCCTTAACCCCAGCACATTGTTTTAAAATGCTTGTTTAAAAAATAATAAGATACTGGGGAATTATAGTGGCCAAATTATATTGCTATATCAGGTGCACAAATGAATATGCAACAACAAATCCCACCATTATGTGTAATTATAACGCACCAATAAAAATGTGGAAAAAATAAAAAATAGTAATAAAAAATAAAAAATAGCCTCAGCATAATTTGTCTTATATAAGCCTCAACTTCATTGCCTTCAGCACATCATCAATTCTTTCTATTTTTTCCCTCAGGCTCCCAACACAGAATTCCCTTTGCCCTTCACTGTTAACCAGTAGACAGTCCATGGTTTGTTTTTGTAGTAGTCAAGGCAGCTAAGAAGAGAATTTTTTCTGGTCCCCTTTTCCTCTCATCATTTAACACTTGAACCTTGAACTTGATGTTAAGGAACCTGACAACAGGTGAAGCTTGACTGCAGGCCTCAGGAGAAATGGGCCTCCTTTTCTGGGGAACCTACACAAGGTTCTGGGCCTCAGAGTTTGAAAAAAGGGACCCAGATATGTGAGAAGTCAGTGTCTCTAGATTTGGAGAAAGCAAGAAAGGTAGAGAATGAGAGAGAGAAGAAGGAGGTTTGAGGGAGACCCTCCTGGGTCTCTTGCTCCTCCCAGTCACAATTCTTTATCTGAAAAACCAGGCTTGAACCAGTTAACAGGTCCAATGGCCATATAGGCTGACATTTCAAAGCTCAAATGCTACAATCATAGGTATGAACTGCAAAGATTTAGAAACAGCAAAGCAGTCAAGAAAATAGACTAAATGAGGTGGTTGGGGAGATGACTCCAGCTTCCTAGCTTTTGTTTTAAGACTGGAAGAAACCTGGGTCCTCAGTCTCCAGGGAAAGTCTAGAATTTGAAATGAGAAGACACCTGTGTTTGGAAGAAACCTTGAGCCAATGATTGCCAACCTGTAGTGACAGACAAAGGGAAAGTGTCACAAGGCACAGTACAGCGAGTTTCCTCCCAGATCCTGACACTGAGAATTGGCAGAACTCCCTAGGATATGGAAATAGGTGCTGGTTTCTATATCTCACTGGATTATGCTGATGAAATCCCCTTTGGCATCTGCTCCCAACTAACCTTTTTTTCTTGCCCTGCTGGACTATCCCTGGCCTGAGGACTGGAGAACTAGCACCTATAAACACACAGTACCAGGAGAACTAGAGTGGAGCCCTCCTACCTCCCACCTGCCTCATGGACCTTTGGGTCCCACTACTCACTCCTCCTGGTGAATGAAGCAGGAGGGAGCCTTGCTTCTATTATTGGCTCACCTCTCCCACTGTGACCTTAGGAAAGGGAGAGGGCAGCTCTTTCCTTGGCTTCCCCTTGCTGGGACTCTGCAGAGCTTCCTAATCAATGAGGTTCATTATTTGAGTCAAAACTCTTGGCCTGGTTGTTCATGCAGTTGGAGTCTAAAATTGGGCCAGACATGTAGACACCTAAGAAATTGTAAGAGCCCCTTACAGATACCACATATCCAACTCCCTGAAGTACAAATAAGAAACTGAGATTTAGAGGCTTCAGGGACTTGCAAAAGGTCATACAGTGGGTCAACAGCAACAGGACTACAGCACAGTTCTCCTTTAGCCACAGATACTAAACACCTGCCTTGTGCTGGATTCTGGTATACAAGGGGCCCCCTTGAACCCTAGTCACTGAGGGCAAGGGGAACAGATAAGAATAATCCTAAAGAAGTCCAAAGCAGCATGTAGGCCAGAGAAAAGGCACTGAGTTTGGGAATCTAGGCATGATGCTTCTTTCTATGGGCTTCACCTCCTCCTTTATAAAATGGGTTGGCCCAGTGCTGCCATTCAGGAGCCCTTGAGGTCTGAGGTTTTAGTCATGAGGTTCCTCCAAGTTTGAGCTCCAAAACCCCAACCAACCATTCTCATGGACTGTAAACCAGTCCTGATATTATTTGAAACTGAAGCAAACTTGCAAGGTAAATTGAAGTGAGGAATGGGATCCTCCATGCCACTCACCCTAAAGCCAATGGAATTGACTGCTCAATACTCTGAAATCATCCATACTATGGCGCTCCTCTTTTGGTAGACACATTTGAGAATTTTAAGCATAAAGAGTTGTCTTAGACTTTCTTCACCCCAAAAACATATCCAGAAAGATTAGGAAATTTCAGGCAAAGTCAGTAACATAAATACAAGATGTGTCCCTTGGGATTTAACCAACACACAGTCTTCCAGCCAAAGACAGAAGGGTGAGATAGCACCTGGATAATTCATCTGCTTATTCAAACTCTGGTTGACTCTCTACCCTGTGGCTTGGACAAGTTCCATGCCAGCTCACCCGGTTTAGGTAACTGAAGACAATTTATGCATTGGATGAGATCCTTCTCTCTCCTTCCACTTCTTTCCCTTCTCTGGACCTTTGGTTAGGAGGTTCTAGAGATAGCCAAATTGTATCAGCAAAGGAATGGAATGGAAAACTTCAGGGATAGAGACCAAAGTTAGGGTCAGGGCTGGCCATATCTTACCTGGAGTGAGAAAGAGGAAAGAAATCCTCACATATCAGAAGTCTAGGCAAACAGTATTCTTCCCTTACCTCTGCAAGATGGAACTGTTTCCCAAACCTCCTGAGCTGTGGCGTGGGGTGTTTATAAAGACAAGGATTCACAGGGCCAGTAATCAGATGCTCAGCCAGCTATAGTTTTAAAAACCACCCTTGGTCGGCCCCAAAGATCATAAGGGTCTGAATATTACCTACTTACTATATACACTTTATATCAGCATTCTTTGGCAACACTATTTCATGTTAATCTTTCCATCACCTTTTGGGTTCAGAGGGAGAGATTATTCCACTTTTCTGAAGAGGAAATGAGGTTCAGAGAATGGAAGTGACTTCCCAGAGGCACATAGCTGAGCCTCAAATGTAGGTCCTTTGGCTCTGAGTGTGGGATGGATGTTCACAGAGAAAGGAAACAAGCTCTGGGGTCAGTTGGACTAGTTATAGTGCAAGCACAGTGCCTGCCACACTTAGCTATCCCATAATTTATTTTCTACTTCCTTTGGCTGAGGTTATTCAAATAGGGAGTAGGATAGCAGGGACTTAAAACCTGTCGTAGAAATCCTAGAGCCACTCAGGATTTTAGCAACAGGAGTAGTTCAACCGAGTTTGCACAGCCAGTCAGAGTGGCACAAATCTTGCCACATGTCCCCGTCAGCCATGCCTCCTTGCCTAAGATGCTCTTCAGCTCCCATGCCAAGCCCCATAATTCTAAGTGTATCCCCTGTCTCAAACTACTTCCAAGACACCACTCTGCTGCAATTTCAAGACGAGCCTTTGTCCCTAGCTCCACAGAATGGCGATAGGGCAGTTCCAAATCTTCAGGAAGAGTCTACAAGTCTTTTCTGAAGAAAGGAGTTACCTGGTAGCGGCCGCTGGGAAAGAATCTGTTGGCTAAGCAAACAGTGCTCGGCAGCTTCCCCTGGAGGCTTATCAGACTCCAAATCCAGGTGCATGTTGCTCTGCCTGGATCCAAATACAGCCACTTCCTACTAGGCTTCTTAGCACCCATAAAGAGGTGAGAATCACATCTGGTATGTTTTAGTGTCATTTTCCAGCATCTAGAGTCTCAAGTCCCTGCTTGAATTGTCCAGGACCCAAGGAGTGAGATCTGGTTATCCTGCCCAAGAACTCCTCGCCTTGTCCCATCAGAAACTTGGTATGGTGTCCCTCTGCCTAAAGCCTGGCTACCAGATGTAAACCCACAATTTGTGCTCCACAGGCTCCCTGGATGTCACACACTCTTATTCCCCCTGTGCTGTTTGCTTGAGTCACAGAAACAAATTGCAAGAAAGGGCCATGGGTTTAGAAGAGTGGAGCATGCCTGCTTCTGGAGTGCGACCCGCTGGCCTACCTCAACACCCTGGTCCTGGGCCTGCTGTGTGAGTTTTATTTCAAATCTCATTTTGTAACATAGAAGTTATTATTCAGAAATTATGATTAAGAAACAGGAAGGGCTCGAGGATGATTTTTAGAAGTTAGAGGGCTGCGGGGCACACATGAACTGACAGAGGCTGTGGACTCAGACATCGGACTGATGTCATTTACCAGGAAGAGTTGTCCCTCTTTGAGGCACCGTTCTTCACTGTTAACAGGGAAAGGTTAAGCTAAGCTACCCAGGGAGACTTTTAATTTCCACTCAAAGAAGCAATTTCTGGAAGAAACCAAGATGGGATGGAAAATGAAAGAATGAAAATAAAAAGTTTCCCTTGGAGCTATTTGCAATAGTTGGAATTTTATCTTACCAGGATGCCCATG